GCAGCCCAATTCGTGACCACTATGCCACCAGGGTTCCAGAGACAGAGACTGGTGAAAACAGTTCTTGTTGTTCACGCATGACCTCTTCCTGAGGTATCAGACACGTGAGGAAAAAAGTATTGGTACTAGGGATTCCATTTACCCATGGATCCGTGTATGCCTAACAAAGCATGTCAAAACAGGTCTCTGATCAGCGAGTGGCTGCAGACCAGTTCTCTCAGTGATTGTGTTCATCCGGGTTGACAAGTGAAACAAATTCATGGACACTCATATGTGTGTAAAAGAGAGCTTTATATACAAGAGCAATTGTCTATTGAGAAAACACCCCAGCCCAGTCCAGATCAAGTCCATAAGTCCGATATTAATCCATATGTCTGATATTAGTCCCTAAATTCCTGTTTAGACTCGCAGCAGATGCAATGATGCCGAATGCAGGAAGATCACAGGCTAGTGGGTAGAAAATCTTGTGAATCCAGTGGCGGTGGAAGCATCTCAACGCTGCCGCCGGTCTCCACGTGGCTCCTCCAGCTCTCTGAGGGTCTTAACAGCAGGAAAAGGAAGGCAGAGAGAGAGTGTGTGTTCCATCTCTAGGGAAGAAACTCCCAGAATTCTCATGGGAAGGCCATGCTCCTAAGGAGGCATCATCAGGCTATGACCTGACGGACAGGCTAGACCCCACCCCTGCCCTCTATTCATCAAGTTGACAGAAAAGGACGTAACTACCACAGTGAGACACTGGTCTTCGTCTTGTGAGAGTGCCTGAAAAGGCAAACACAAGTCCAGCCCAAATCAGTGGCTTCCAAATGGATCTATCTATCTGCTGGGCCAGATACATTTTTTTCAAATCATTTTATTGGGGGCTCATGCAACTCTTATCACAATCCATCCATCCATTGTGTCAAGCACATTTGTATATTCATTGCCCTCATCATTCTTAAAGCATTTACTCTCCTGGCATCAGCTCCTCATTCCCCTCCTGCTCCCCCCCCTCCCCCACCAGCAGAGAGGTCAGCTCAGAAAGTCATGGCAATTCTTTGTTAGGATTATTATCCCAAAGGGATCATCTCCATAGGTTTTTTTTTCTCAAAGGACACAGGATGATCACAGGAGCTTATGATGAAGCCGTTTGGAGAAACTTAAAAACCACACCGGTGAGGAATGGGCAGGAGAGTTGCACGGAGGAATTCCCCCCATCCCCATCCCAGTCACAACAACTCACCTAGCAAGGGCCTTCCTTCCAGAATTCCCTTAGGAAACTTGACCCTGGCACCTTCCAGCCCTGGGTGTGTCCCTGCAGATGTCTGTCTTGTTTCGCAGAGGCAGAGCGCGTTTCAAAGGAACATGATGTGAGTCCCTAGCCACTGATGCTCACAGTGGCCTCTCCATGGGGTGTCCGTGGAAGGGCACAGAATTCTTCCGTGGAAGGGTGGTTGCTACGTTTGTGACGTGCCACTGAGTTGGTTTCCAACCCCTTCGTGGCCCTCTGCGCCTCCTGACAAAACATTGCCCTGTCCGGTACAGACCTCTGGCTCATTGTTGCCTCGGGGCCGTTGTTTGGGGCCAATCCATTTCATTGTGGATCTTCCCTCTTTCTCGCTGACTTCTGCTTTACCAAGCGCGGCGTCCTCGTCCAAGGAAGGGATAGAGGGATGGTAACGCTGTCTCCAGAGGCGTCTAGACCCTCATGGAGCAAGCATCAAGAAATAATACTTTCACACTTGGATGGTTTCATATGAATTTGTCCTACGAATTTGTAGCAATACTTATCTTTTTAAAAAACTCATTTTATTGGGGGCTCAGACAACTCTTATCACAATCCATCCATTCACCCATTGTGTCAAGCACATTTGTATGTTGGTTGCCGTCATCATTTTTAAAACATTCGCTTTCTACTTGAGCCCTTGGTATCAGCTCCTCATTTTTTCCCCTTCCTCACCCCTCCCTCCCTCCCTCATGAACCCTTGATAATCTATAAATGATTATTATTTTTTCATGTCCTACACTGACTCATGTCTCCCTTCACTCACTTTTCTGTTGTCCATCCCCCTGGGAGGGGGTTATATGTCGATCATTGTGATCAGTTCCCTCTGTCTCCCTCCATCTTCCCCTTCCCCTCCTGGTATCACTACTCTCAAAATTGGTCCTGAAGGGTTCATCTGTCCTGGATTCTCTGTGTTTCCAGCTCTTATCTGTACATGCACATCCTCTGGTCTAGCCGGATTTGTAAGGCAGAATTGGGGTCATGATAGTCGCGGGGGGTGGTGGGGAGGAGGCATTAAAGAACTGGAGGAAAGTTGTATGTTTCATCGGTGATGTGCTGCAACTGGCTCGTGTCTTCCTTGTGACCCTTCTGTAAGGGGATGTGCAATTGTCTACAGATGGGTTTGGGTCTCCACTCCACACTCCCCTCATTCACAATGATGTGATGTCTTGTTCAGGGTCTTTGATGCTTGATATCAGATTGTAGCAATACTTCTTGACTTACCCTCTTCTACTCCATGGGGTGTAGTGGAAAGAATGCTGAGCTGGGAAGCTCTCGGTCCCTGACTGCAGATCCCAGAGCAGTCCTCTATGCGCAGCATTTTCTTGAGGAAGCAAATGAATGTCTCCATGCTTTGTGGGTAAGGAAACTTGGTGGCGTAGAGCGTTACTGCATGGGCTGCTAAGGGCAAGGTCAACAGTTTGAACCCACCAGCCTCTCAGAGGAGCAAGATGCAGCTTTCTGCTCTGGTAAACCCACAAGAGTAGTTCTTGACATCCACTCATTGACAGCGAGTTTGGTGCTGTCGTTGTTTTTAATACTTTGGAGGAAGGAGCCCTGGTGGCAGTTCAAACCCACCAGGGACTCCACGGGGGAGAAAGGAGGCAATCTGCTCCCACAGAGCGAATCGGATCAACTCAATGACAGCGAGGTCAGTGAGACGCCTCAGTGAGAAGGGGGCACCTGCCACTTCTAAGCTGTGCGACCTTGGGCAGGTTCCTCCATCTCTCCATGCCTCCGCTTCTCAGATCGAAATGACATCGTCGCCTCGCAGAGCCAGCACTGTGGACATGTTGGTCTCTGTGGCCACCAAGAGCCTTCCCGGCACAACTGGACGGTTGTCTGCCAGAGGAAACCAGCCTCGAACAACCAAAGCATCCGTAGGCACAAGTGTACGGCGATAATATGTAAAGATGATAGCAAAGTCATAGAAGATAGCAAAGATAGGAGCGACAGTACAATAAAGGAGTCAGACACATTTCACGGTAGCACGCTGGCTTCAGTCCCTCTTGCTGGTCCACACAGAGGTGGGAGAAGAGAGGAGAGCGTCTTTACTAACTTGGGACATTTACAGGTAGCTATAAGACATGCGTCTTCAGTAGTTACATATATCACAAGGTGGGTGGTAGCGACAGTAAGGCCCCTGAGCTCACAGGTGAAGAAACTTAATACCTGCATGGGGAGAAGGTATGATGGGGGCTGGGTGACAGCAGGAGGAGAGAACAACAGGATGTCTGCTTCTACAGGAGACAGAATCCACCATGTGCTGCTCACTTTAAGGCAGCATAGCTGTGAGGGGGAGAATCTGTGGGAATGCTATTTAAAGCAGGATCATGGACTTGGACTTGACCTCTAACTTACCAAAGTGGGGGCTTTCCTACTGTGGAATACTAGCTTTCCAGATTCCCTCTGTGATACGTTAGGGAAGAGAGTCCTTGTCCTATTTCCCTCAGTGTCCGTTTCCCACAGTTGTCTATCTGAGAAATGCAAGAACAAACCCAACCCCCTTCCTGTCTAGGCATAGCCACCCTACAGGGCAGGGTGGAATTGCCCCATAGGGTTTCCAAGGCTTAGATCTTTAGGGAAGCAGGACTGTCTTAGTCTTCTTTCTGTGTAGTGGCTGGTGGGTTTGAACTTCAGACCTTACGTTTCAAAAGCAAGCAATGAATCCCTGGGTCCCTAGGACAGACACCACTGAAACATGAGAGAAATCAGGATTCACGGATGGGATGGAAGAAGCGGTGAGGAGCAGGGGTGTGGAAGAGGGTGAGAATCCAAGGGGCCCTGGATAGGAGTTAAGGGAACAAGGATGGGAAGAGCAATGGGGAAGGCCGGGGAGTCGTTTGGGAGAATAATGGGAAGACATGTTGAGGGAAGATGGGTGTTGGATTTCTGACCCTCTCTCCACTTTCCCTTTCTCTTGAATTTCTTTCCAGGAAAGACCACTGGGACAAGATGAGATTGAAGGTAACGCTCTCTCTTCTCTCTCCCCAACACACCTACATGCCCATCCACCCCCTTCCCCATTACCCCTCTGTACATTTCCGTGTTCACATCTTCCCCGGGGAAATTTTAGCAGTCCTTCCCTCTCGATTTTCACTTCCCACTCCAATGCCATTTTGTGGATCTCTGTCTCCTGACAGTCTATGTACCTCCCCTCAGAGGCGGCTCTCTCCCCAACGATCTCGGCTACTCAGGAGGAACGCATGGGTTTTAGGATGAATCCAGAATGGTTAGGTGAGGTCAGTTGGCCTGATACAGTTCTCAGACAGTGTCCGCTCTGGAGATTGTAGAGTCCCCAAGACGATGGCCCTGATGGAACTCATCCCTCATGGTTCCATTTTCAGTCAAACCAGAGACAGATTTATAAGGTGAACCAGACCACTCAGAAGGCATACATACACAGCATCGAATCATCGATCATTTTAAAATCAAAAGGGCAGCCTTTACCCAAGGACAGAGCTCAGATAGGGCTGAGAAAGAAGGCGGAATGGAGATGGGAGGGTGTGGGGTGAGCAATGTCACATTGTGGGGATTGCAATCAGTGAGATGAAGCAAACCGTGTCTGGATTGTTGAATGGAAAACGGATCTGCTCTGTAAAGCTTCATCCAGTTCTCTCTCTCACACGTATGTTGTGGCGTTTCCTCTTGGTAGCTTTTTGCTTCTCTCTAATTTCACTCAAGAATTTGAAGCACTTCTGTGTTATCACCTCTTTGCCAACACATTTCATACATCACTCTTTCAAAATTTTTGGTAGTTTTCTCTCT